GATTGATGATTGTGAATCAAGCACTTCATAATATGACCCCTTTAAATCATCTTTATTCCTAATTTAGTTCCTTGTTTATAAGTTTGTCAAACCCTTTCCTTTCCAGCGAGGTCTTCAAGACATATAACGTGGCTATGGACTACCCAACGTTAGTGATGATCATCTGGAATTTCGGCGTCGTGGGAATGATCTGCATCCACTGGAAAGGGCCGTTGCGGCTGCAGCAGGCGTACCTCATTGTCATCAGCGCCCTCATGGCCCTCATCTTCATCAAATACCTGCCCGAATGGTCAGCATGGGTCATACTGGGAGCCATCTCGATATATGGTACGGTGCCTGGAGATTGATTGACAGACCGCAAACCATCTGCTTCTGCATTTGTTCTTCAGCTTCTCTGTCACTTGCTATACTGTGACTCTCATTCACATTTAAAATAAGGATTGTTATTTCTTTAAGGGGTTAATCAGGCCTAAAATGAATATTCTGTAATTATTTAATCTGTAATCACCCTTGTTCCAAATTTCTTTGACGTTCTTTCTTATGTGGAACATGAAATAATACTGGGAAGAACAGTTTAAGTTCCCATTGACTTCCATTGTATTTTTTCACCAATGGTTGCAGACATTTATCAAAATATCTTCTTTTATGTTCTGCAGAAGAAAGAAACGCTTAAAGGTTTGGACCGACTTGAGTAAATTATGACAGGATTTTCATTTTTGGATGGACTATCCCTTTAACTTGTTTAATGTTAAAAATTCAGTTCTTAAAGGTGCAGAACATAATTTTCTAAAAAAAAATTGTAGTGGCACAGAAATGGCAAAATCACTGAAAATGCTCATATCTGTTGGATTAGTGCACATGATTGTTTCACCGTTTGTGTGTTTATTTTCCAGATCTGATTGCGGTGCTTTGTCCGAAAGGCCCGTTGAGGATGCTGGTAGAGACGGCGCAAGAAAGAAACGAGCCAATTTTCCCTGCGCTCATATATTCATGTATGTCTTGAAAAATGAAACCAAGAACATGCAGCATGCAGACTTGCAACAGTTGGGATTGTCTAAAAATGACACTAGTTTGCATCACCACATTTGTAGTCAGCTAGTTTAACCACTTTAAGTCCAGTCAAGATGGATCATGTACTAATACATTTTCTCTTTCTCAGCTGCCATGGTTTGGATGGTTGGCATGGCTGATTCTAGTAATCCAGATTCCGGTGAGCTGCACTTTACTAGTGCTTTTTAGTACTTTTTTCCAAGACCTTGAAATGCTTTGTGTGGAAAGTGGAATCTAATACCCTGTAACTTAGATATTGGTGAATAAGCTGTTGTTGTCCTCTCAGCTGATGAAAGGCAGCGGAATGAGGGCGGAGCTTTGGCACAGGAAGGGGTGGAGTCAGAGGATGATGCGGCTCAGGGAGGGAGGCGGCGGTATTCAGCAGAAGAGGACCTTGAGGAAGACCGTAAGGGGTTTCTACAGCCTCAGTATCATACAGATCATGTTCTTTGCTTACAGTACTTCACTTATAAAGCAAGTAATTAAGGCACAATGTGGTGAACTAGTTAAAAATGCCTCGGGCAATCCATGCAAACTTAACAAACAGGTTTGACTATTTTCATTCTAGTGTCATATGCTGAAATGCCTGTTGGTTGACTTTCTCACAGGAGGGGTGAAGCTGGGTCTGGGTGATTTCATCTTCTACAGTGTGCTGGTGGGAAAGGCGGCCACCACCGGAGGAGACTGGAACACCACACTGGCCTGTTTCGTGGCCATTCTCATCGTGAGTGTCTCAACTAGCCTTCTGTTGATCCGGCACGTACAGACTAACATTCACTAATAGAGATGCTTTTTAATGTTTAAAGTCTATTATGCTTGCCGAGTCTGAATTTATTTGTGAAATTTATCAATTGAAAATGGCTTTTTTATATTCAAATATATTTTAAAATGTAATTTATTCCTGTGAATTTTCAGCATCATTACTCCAGTCTTCAGTGTCACATGATCCTTCAGAAATCATTCTAATATGCTGATTTGCTGCTTAAGAAACATTTCTTATTATTATCAATGTTGAAAACAGTTGTGCGGTTTAATATATTTGTAGAAAACGGTAGTGTAGTACAACTGTATGGACAAATTGGTGTCAGATATGAACTATAATATTAAATGGCTTTCATCTGTTCAAGAGTTACTATGCACTGCCATTTTTTAGATATGCATTTAAAAAGTTGAAAAGAGTGACAGAAACTTGACTTCAGTAGACACATTATTACAAGTCATTACATAACTAGTTAACTTTAATTTCTATAGAAAAAGAGGAAAAAACAAATATGCGACCCTGGACCACAAAACCAGTCATAAGGGTCAATTTTTTGAAATTGAGATTTCTACATCATCCAACTACTTGATACAACTATTTGAAAATCTGGAATCTGAGGGTGCAAAAAAATCGAAATATTGAGAAAATCGCCTTTAAAGTTGTCTAAATGAAGTTCTTAGCAATGCATATCACTAATCAAAAATTAAGTTTTGATATATTTATGGTAGGAAATTTACAAAATATCTTCATAGAACATGATCTTTACTTAATATCTAAATGATTTTTGGCATAAAAGAAAAATCAATAATTTTGACCGATACACTGTATTGTTGGCTATTGTTACAAATATACCCGTGCTAATTATGACTGGTTTTGTGCTCCACGGTCACATATAAACATCTATAATAAAAGGAAATCCCAAAATGCATTGTTACAAGTACATACTTTTAAGTACCTCTTATATATTGTTATATTATATTATTATAAAACCTATACTTTTATATTTATTAAATATAAAAATGTTTTTAATCATATTGTTTTTTGTTGTAATATTTATATTTCATTCAGTACTAAAGATATTGATAATAATAGTTTAATTAATCATTGACTGTTGTAAACAATAATTGTTTGCTATGTATTTGTATTGCTAGCTACTGTATGTTGAATGTTCCAAATGAGTGGATGATGTCTTAGTGGGGCAGTAGAAAGCTCGCTAGGTTTTGGAGCAGAGCCTAAGAGTTTGATTTAGGGTTGTTGTTGCTGATATTGTGGTTGCTTTGCAGGGACTGTGCCTGACGCTCCTCCTTCTGGCCATTTTCAAGAAGGCTCTGCCGGCTCTGCCCATCTCCATCACCTTCGGCCTGGTCTTCTACTTCTCCACAGACAATCTGGTACGGCCCTTCATGGACAGCCTGGCAGCCCACCAATACTACATCTGACAGAAACCCACTGACACATGAAGGACTTTATCAGAACCACAGTCGTTGCGCTTCAGTGAGATTCAAACGTTTTTCCTATACTTTTATATTTATTAAATATAAAAATGTTTTTAATCATATTGTTTTTTTTAATGTAATATTTATATTTCATTCAGTACTAAAGAAATTGATAATAATAGTTTAATTAAACATTGACTGTTGTAAACAATAATTGTTTGCTATGTATTTGTATTGCTAGCTACTGTATGTTGAATGTTCCAAATGAGTGGATGATGTCTTAGTGGGGCAGTAGAAAGCTTGCTAGGTTTAGGAGCAGAGCCTAAGAGTTTGATTTAGGGTTGTTGTTGCTGATATTGTGGTTGCTTTGCAGGGACTGTGCCTGACGCTCCTCCTGCTGGCCATTTTCAAGAAGGCTCTGCCGGCTCTGCCCATCTCCATCACCTTCGGCCTGGTCTTCTACTTCTCCACAGACAATCTGGTACGGCCCTTCATGGACAGCCTGGCAGCCCACCAATACTACATCTGACAGAAACCCACTGACACATGAAGGACTTTATCAGAACCACAGTCGTTGCGCTTCAGTGAGATTCAAACGTTTTTATTTCTCATGAATCTGAGTGAGTGAATGAAGGTGTGAAATGTATCAAAACAAGCAAACCGATTTCAGTTCTGTGTTGTCATGCAGCTTTGCATTGGCATTTTGGTTTTTATTGAGAAGCTGCACATCAGCTCTTTAGAATATACAGTAGTTTTACCAGGGTTTTTTTAATACTTACTGAGAAGGTAAATGACTTTTCGGCATCCTGACAAGTGTCAGTGAAGGGTCCTTTTTCATAAATACGACTTATGAAGTGATGAAAAGATTGCTGCTAGTTTCAGTGGTGAGACAGAAGCCTGTATATGTGGCCTGCATACAGCAGTGTGAGTGCTGTAAGCTTGCCAGTGGTTACAGCATAATAAACTAATCACACGAATAGAGTTTTTCCTGCATACTTTCATTTTTAGAATTACTAATATTGTGGAAGGCTTATGAAAGTGTATAACATAGGTTTATCATGATGTCGGCAAACAGGATGTGATCCTAAATCAACATATTTGTTGGACCTACATAGGGCTGGGTGATATATCTAATATTCACAATAATTTTGCTGGCGATATCAGATTTGTATGTCGTTCACAAGGTTGCATTTTAGTTGCAGAAGATGAGAAACCAAACCTAAAATTAAATACGTTAACATTTTATGGATGGCTAAAGCTGAGCAGTTACCAACCTGTAATCTCGAGAAGTTAGACTTTATTTACAAAGACATAAATGTTTTATACAACAGAAATGTAATGTTTTGAAAATGGTAGGTTGTCTATACGTAGCCTCGAAAACAAAAACCAAACTGCAGAATTTTTTGATAAGTTTTAGTGAAAATACAAGTGCTGTGACGAAAGAGTATGAAAGTGTTCGTGTAGAGATGTTTTAATAGTCTCTCTTAAAAATATTCAGTGGTTATCCCTGCATGACATTTTTATGTGTTATGTTTTATTAAAAATATGTTAGTAACTTTACAATAATGCGTTAAATAACAATGAGCAATACATGTAGTGTAGTATTTATCTTTGTAATTGTTAATGAATAAAAATACAATGTTAGCTCATGTCCATTAATTAATATGAACAGAGGCGACTTTTGATTTGAATAATGTATCAGTAAATGTTTAAATTAACATGAGCTAATATTAATAAATGCTTTAGAAGTCTTTTTCATTTTTAGTTCATGTTAACTAATGCTAACAAATCGTATTGTAAAGTGTTACCCAAATACATAAACACCAAGATATAAAACGAATAATGTCAAATGGCTGTAAAATATAATAAAAAAATTGATGATATATTTAATATTTCCTAAGCTGTATCGCCCAGCCCTAGTCCTGGAACGACATGCCAAAATCCTGGTCACTGATGTAATTTTTGTGTTTGGAGATTTTAATTGAAATGCAAATTTGCAAGTATCAGTTTACGAATTTGACAAAGTCTTTGGTTTACATTTGGTCTACAAACTGTTTGCTGACAATGTCACAGGCACTGTCAAATTTTAAATTAAGTACACTGGGAACGTTTATCTAGGATTTCTTCTAGACCCATATCAGGTATGCCAGCTCTTAGAAGTTGTTGGTGCCTTGCGTTGTGGTTTTTCTGTGCCACTGAAATTGCAGCCGAGAACTAGTGCACTGGAGGTACAATACATTGCAGAGATACAAGGACAGAAACTGAATTCTTTTACTCTAGTTTACAGAGTTTCAGGTCAATACCAATGTATTCATGTTTTTCCACATCATATTCAATCTAAAAAGGCATCTATAATCTTACTATGAATTTTCTCAAGCTAATTGAAAACGTGTTGGTCGTATATAGCGCTGAGAATCATTCTCTGTAAGATGATCGGCTCTCGGCTTTATAAATGTGTTCCTTTTTTATCAGCCGTTACCGGAATGGAAACAAACCATTGCTATCACATGTTTTTATACTACTTTATGAATAGAGACCTTTCATGGACATGGTGATTACGGCTGCTTGAGAAACGGATGTGCTTTGAGCGGTTTAGGAGTATTTTGCATATGCTGAGAGCGTTTAATCTTTATACTGAAGAAAGAAATTATATTTACTACAGATTAAAATTTTAATTGTTTTTATATGTTCACAGTTAAAAAGAATTGTTTTCCTCTCTCGGTTTTGTTTGTTATTGTCATGCACAATGCTAGGTGTCGTGTAATATTAAAATATCAAGCAAATAAATGGGAATGAAGGATTGTTCGTGAGCTGGATTTTTGTACATGCCAAGCCAATTTAGTGTCAATTTTAGCTGCCTTATTAATTACCAAATAAAGAAAATCCACACCAGTGAAACATATATGGCTGCTTGAACATTTTATTAGAGCTTAGAAAACTACATTAATGTTGGCAAACAAACAGTTTGAAGAGAGACACCATTACATTTAAATTCACAAAAAAACACACAAAACATAAAACTGTAATCCTAAATCTTCCACCGCACACGGTGTCTTTAATTTCGTTCCTCAAACTGGGACTTGTTCTTCAGTAAGAATGCTGCTAAAAACTCTATGGGATTTGGAGGCCTGAAGGAAGATGGATAGTGGAATTAGATACATAAACTTAATTGATACAAGGAGGAAATTTAATTTTGATCAGACAAAAGGAATGAATTAAAGGAATTACTTAAAAGAATAATTTACCCCCCAAAAAAGAAAATTTGCTGAACATTTATTCAGCCTCAGGCCATTCAACATGTAGATGAGTTTGTTTCTTCATCTGAACAGATTTGGAGAAATGTAGCATTACATCACTTGCTCACCAATGAGCAATCAACCTATGCAGTGAATGGGTGCCGTCAGAATGAGAGTCCAAACAGCTGATAAAAACATCACAATAATCCACAAGTAACCCATATCACTCCAGTCCATCAATTAACATCTTGTGAAGTGAAAAGCTGCATGGTTTTAAGAAACAAAAACATTTTTAACTTCAAACTGCTTCTGGATAAAAAAAAAGTCTCTATCCATAATATTTCTTTCTCCACTGAAAAAGTCATCTCATCTGAATCAGGAGAGAAATATGCTCAGATTAAGCACCGTTTATAAGTGAAGAGAGTCCAAAACTGCTTTAACAAGTATGCTGGTGGATTTTGAATTTTGTGAAATAGAATAGGGGATGGACTTTTTATTGGAGGAAGTGTCATTATGGAATTCTATTTTGGCCATAAACTATGAAACACACAGCTTTTCACTTCACAGAATGTTAACTGATGGACTGGAGTGGTGTGGATTATTGTGATGTTTTTATCAGTTGTTTGGACTCTCATTCTGACGGCACCCATTCACTGCAGAGGATCCATTGCTGAGCAAGTGATGCAATGCTACATTTCTCCAAATCTGTTCTGATGAAGAAACAAACTCGTCTACATCTTGAATGGCCTGAGGCGGAGTACATGTTCATTTCTGGGTGAACCATTCTTTAAGGCAATCATAATCCCCCCAAAAAATCATGTTCATGTAGTTTTGTGTTTGGAAAGAACTTAGCAAGAAGTCTGTGCACTAATGCAGACCTTTCCTTGGCCAGAACTGACAAGCCCTGCAGGAGGATAGGAACCACGGTCTGATCCAGATACGCTCGTGTAGGAAGGGTCTGAGGGTCCACCTTCTGTTTGGTGACTTTTTCAGCGCTTGTTTTCTCATTCTCCACTATTCTCTAGAGAAACATAGACACACATAGAATACACTCATAGAACTAATGCTTCATTCATGCTGCAGCCAATTCACAACTGTTTTTCTGTTCCAGTCTTTAAGACATTATAAAAAACAAAGTAGTACTGATGTTGTACCTGGATGTTTTCAGTGAGGCCATATTCTGCATGAGGATTTGCTGGGACCTAAAATAAACAAGAAACACAATGACAACAAACTGCTTTCTTGTATCTTGCTTTAATGAAATATTGCAATGCTAACGTTACTCACAGCAGTGTGTCCCTCCATGCTCTGCTCGGCATCAGGGTGTTCTGGAAGGATCAAAATTAAACTATTAAGCCACATTAACAAGTTTAAGAACTCACACGCCGCAGTACTTTACATACGAGTCGCGCATGTGTGCATGTAACGTTAAAGTCACATACTGTAGTGAATGGCGGGATTCAATGGGCCACTGCAGACAAGCTCAACGCTAACAATAATGCACACAATCAGAAATATAACTCTCCCTACCGTATGTTAACACTGACTAGGTCTAAAACTGCAGCAAATATAATCACTGCACAATTAACCACAAAGCTCAGAAACATCACTTACCGTCCGCCATAGTTTGTTGTTGGTTTCTACGCAGTTGACGCTGCGCATGCGCACAGCACGTGCTTGAATGACGCGAGCGTAGGTTCTAAAAAGGGCGGGGCCTTGTGTCCCAGACATTTCAGATGCTATTTTTTTTATTTAACGATTTACAGTGGATTTATGTTGTGTTTCTCAGTAGCATTATTAAGATGTAAAGCATTATCCAAAGCACTACTGAATAAAAACGTTAACGTGTGGTCACGAGACAAGTGTTACATTACTCCAGGCGGACCAATCACAGTCGTTTGTGATTACTAGATAATGGATGCTTTTTTTGTATAAACGTAAAAAATAAAATACAAACGTAAAATGTATTTTAAAAATAATTATAATTATTGGTTATATCCATATTAACATAATGACAGAAAAATGTTTATATGACTATTTTACAAAATTTAAAGGGGTCATATGATGCTTTTTTTAAAGATCATTATTTGGTGTATTTGATGTAACAGAATATGTTGACATGCTTTAATGTTCAAAAAACACATTATTTTTCAAATACTGTACATTATTGTCCTATATGCCTCGCCTCTCTCAAACGCTTAGTTTTCTACAAAGTCCCTCCTTCCGACAAGCGCAGTCTGCTCTGATTGGCCAGCTGACCCAGTGCATTGTGATTGGCCGAACACCGCAAGCACTCGTCTTCTCACTCACTCTCGCGCTCTCGCTCTCTTGCTCTCTCGCTCTCGCTCGCTCTCTCTCTCTCTTTCTCGCTCGCTCTCTCGCACACGATGCGCAAAACTCTGCATTTGAACAGTCAATAGCAAATAAACTGAAAATCAGTTAAGTAGCAAATGTGAATACCATAGTTAGTATATGAATACTGTAAATATGGTAATATCATGTGATACCATCGCTTTATCATGGTACTGCCTCACTTTTTATAAGGTTCTTTTTGTACTCTCTGTAAGGCTCTCTTGTGTTTTATTGTTTATGTAAACAGGAAATATTTCACTGTCCATTCCACAAAGGCAAATTGTCTTGCGCTTACACACGTTAGATTTTGTGTTTGGTTTTACTTTCACTTCATCTGTCCAGGAGTGGGCCCCATTTGTTGGCATTTGTCTAGTCGTATGTGAACTAGTGCTCAGAAGATATGAATATCCAGTGCAAATATCAAGAACTAGAGATTGGGCTGGATAATATGTAATGTATGCTAATTTATAATTATAGCAACACCTAACCAGGATGACCTAGTCCTATCCAGAGGATTAGCCACCTAAGCTAGTTTGGACCATCCAAAAAATAATAAAATAACCTGCTTTAGTCAGTTAGAAACCATTTAGTGCCATCAGGAGAGACTATATAGTCATGGTTTCTGTTGTTATTGCTTATACTCCTGCCTAAGAAGAGATGAGTGATCTGGGATCAGATTTTGGATGTCAGCCAGCCGTGATGAAGTGGGAACCACCTCA